GAAGTGTGAGGGAACAACTGTGCTTCAGCAAACACACTCGGAAGTTGTAACCGGGGGTGATGTCGACCATGCTCCCGTCTTTCTGTGGATAGACGAGCAGGGAGGGTTTCTTGTTTCGTCCACAACCAGGCAGGGCATTGCGACCCAGATTTGGAATGATCAACTCAAGAAAAAAGTTTACAACATTCTATGCCAGAGACGACGCCTGACGCAGACCCAACTTTCCTTTTTCCAGACCCAACCTTTCCCCCTTTCCTTAAAACTGGAAAATGCACGCTTTGAAGTGTGAGGCTAGTAGCCTGACGGGTAGCGAGTTGCTGTCGGTATTGATCCGTCCGGATGGCAGCCAGACGAAGTTGGACGATTGTGTGGCACAGGTAGTTACGATACAGGCGGGTGGTGCCGGCGAGGTGACGGCTTTGGTGTTGGCGCCCAAGACGGCGTTTGAGGTGGACTTGGAGACTGTCGGCGAGCGAACGCCGTTGACGTTGGAAACGACGATGGTGGAGGGCGAGATTTACGACTGGTTCGAGAAGTGGGACCGAATGATGGTGTGGCGACCCAAGGAGGGGCCTCCGGGCAACGAACGCGCGGAGGCGGCACTGCTGCTCGCGTTGCGGCGCCGGCTGGAGAGAACGGGGCCTCGGGACAAGCCTGAGGCGGTGGACGCGCTGTGTCGCGAGATCTTTGGCGAACGCCTGCACGACGTGCACGGCATCCTGAACGGGAGTCGCGGGGTGCCGCGTCCGGACGAGGCAGACGAGGTCAGCGTGACTGTGACGCGGCCGATAGACCCGTCGGAGTTGGAGGAGCTCTTGGCGCAGGTGCCCGAGAACTGGATGCCGGTGCTACAGAGGTCGGCGGAGTGGAAGACTGCGAACTGGAATGACACCGAAGACCGAATGGATGCCGCACCGGCGGAACCCAGCTGCGTAACGAAGCGTTGTCTGTACACGACCGCGGGCGTTCTGGGGCTAGGCTCGGTCGTCGGCGTCATTGCGAGGTCTATATGGCCGGGGTCGACCGCATTGTCGCAAGGCGGAGCGGCGGGAGAAGACTTGCCAGGGACGTACGAACCATTGAGTGACAACCGGGCCGCGGTAGTCTGGGCGGTGGGGGACCCAGTGCCGGCGGCTCCTTGTGGCAGCGGCACCCTACTCTGCGACGGGGGGTGTAGTAACTTCGGCAGCGGCCCCTGGCCCATTGCCTTCGGCAACCCCTGGCCTTTCTCCTTCCCGGTCGCCTGGAAGATTGCTCACGCGGCTGCACCGGCGAAGTGCGAAGTCCGGTGCAGCACCCGGGAAGAGACAAGGAGCTCTTTCAGCACACGACTCCTCACACAGTTCCCGCTCCAAACGCCCAACACGACCATGTCGCTCCAGGAGCGACTCCAACAAATCAGCGCAGCACTTAGTCAGGGTTGCGCAGGCTCGGACACCCCGTGGCAAAACGCGAGCACGCTCACCGACTGTGTCTGCGACATGGCGTCCGTCAGCTGTCCAGTGATTGTGAAGCCCAGTGGCAATAAGCTGGTGTCCGTGATGATGCACCAGCAAGTTCACGGAGTCACTCTCGTCGACTTCGAAGCGTCCATCGCCAGGCTGGCCGGCTCTTTCGCCGACTACACGGACGACACCTACAGCATCTCGCCCTGCTCTTACACTTGCTGGAACCTAAGTCCGCAGGCCAAACAGACCATAGAAGCAAACAAGGCCGCTGAAGCCGCCCGCCAGGCCACCAGTACTACCAGCAAGCCTACCACGACTACCAAGCGTACCACTGCAACCCCCCGCAGGCGTCAAACCACAAGAGATCGTCCGGAGTGGGACGAAAGGGACATGATGGATTTTTTTCTCCCTCATCCTTGGCCTCCTCGGAAAATGGATTGAAAACAGTGGACTGCCTGCCTTCAAGCGCCGTTAAGACCGACCGGTAATGTTAAGACCGGTCTTAACGGAGACATAACCGAAGGAGTACAGATGTTACTATCGCCACACACTTGACCAGTCAAAGGCAAGAATAGTAACTAAGCTGCTTCAACAAAAAGTGAAGGACCGTGACGTCTTAGAACGTAAACCGCAATAAAAAAAACCGCTCCGGTTGCCACTAGACGCCAACAACGTCGCATTCGGGCTTCTCCTACTACAAGACTCGCCTTGCGAAACTGACGAGCCGTCGACTAAAACAATAGACTATCTATAATTTCAGCAACGAGACTCAGGGTACCTGTGTGACCATTCAATACGGCCTGAGTCACGTCAAAGTCTACCAACGACCGTGACCTGAACCAAGCAGATAAATCGAGAAGACAGAACAGACGACTCTTTTATATTTCTATTAGGCCGAAGCCGGGTAGGAGTATATCGATTTTCAAAAATGGACGAACTCGATGGGTACTTCGGCGTCCCCTTGCACATGCTTGAGTGCAGCCCCAACCTCTGACGCGTCGGTCTCCATTAATTGCCGTTGTCGGTGGGGGCATGCACCGTAACGGTGTTCTGGATGGCGTGTCGGAGCTAGTCGTAGGCGTTCTCGTGCACCTCCTGCCACTCGTAGTGTCTTGTCTGGTCGTAGTGAAGAAACGGATGACTCCTAGCTCCGGTTGCTACGCGACCTGCTTCTTCAACCCCCCCAGCATTTCGGGTTCGGACCCCGGCCTTGTGCGGGCGTCCTCATCGGCCGAGGTTAGCAATTCTTCGACAACCAGGTTGCACACAGATTGGCGAACTACTGTTACCTTCACTTCGCTCGAGCCTCGAGTGTCGTCATTGCTGTCTGCTGATCAGCTTAGCCGTGCTGCCTTCGGCGTGGCCTTCGCCTTCAGCCAACACGGATAGCAACCCTCCATCTCTGGCGATCCCTTCAAACCCAACAAACCCAAAAATCACCGTGGAGTTTCTTTCGATAAGTCAGAAGAGGAGACAGAAAAAATCTACCCCGACAGAGGGGACGGTCAGCATACCAGCAGAGCAGGCACCATACAGAACCAGGCACGACACGTGACACCAAATGTGGAGTTAGCCAGTTCAGGATCTGGGACACAACGGCCACGTCGTTCCCATGGGAAATAGCCGTGGGGAGATCGTCCGGTATTCTTCGTTTGGTACGTACCACCCGTTTTTCGCCCACAAGCAGAGCATTGCAACCCGGATTTGGAATGGCCAACTTAAGAATAAGCTGTATAATATATCACCTGGCCTGCCGTGGGCGAGTGCCGTGTGCGCGGAATAAACAGAACGAGACAACATGAACTATGAAGGTTATAAACTACCATGAAGGTTGTAAACTACCATGAAGGTTATAAACTACCATGGCAGCAGCAACCACATCCAAGCACGATGGGTCAATGAGCGGCACAGAGGAACTATCTCGATGCGCGAGTGACGGTTTCGCTTCTACAAGCCGAAGGAAGACACCAAGCAAGCAGGGTCGCATATATGAGCTAACCCGTCGGAGCTGCATGTCTAGGGTGGAGGGTCTAACGTTTGATCCGAAGTCGGACAGACAAGGTCGTCACCGGTGCAGAGCAAGATCTCGCACCAATAGCTGTGTCGAGGCCCGCGACCCTGGACAGAGACTGTTAGTTTCAATAAGGGCTTGATTGGGCCGAGGACTGTGGCTGGAGAAGTTTACTATCTGGTAGTGGTCGTCGATCATGCGACTCGGTTCATGGTAGCTGACGACTTCGGGTGTAGTCACCGGGGGTTTTCGAAGGCTTTGCACGGAGCGGACGTATGGAGTGGTTCGGAGCTGTGAGTTCTGCTGTGATCGCACACCCCGCACCCGGCAACAGGGCTGGCGCCGGTAATGGCGTTGGTAGGGACGGACGCGAGGCACTCACATGAGCTGCCTTTGATACCGCTGGAAGCTGTTAGAGTAGATGCACTTCTGGAGTTGCGTTCCCCGACAGTGCTGAAATAAGCTTGTCAAGATACTCCGTTCTCTAGGATACTCCGTTCTCTAGGATACTCCGTTCGCTAAACTAGGCTGTGGCTAAGTGGTCAGTGCCGTGCCAGGTGGTCGCAAAGGAGCACAACACGCTGCGTGCACAATCTGTTGGGTTTCCAACGTGGTGTGAACGTGGTCAGGGTTTCTGCCGCGAAGGCTAATGGCGCAGTCTCAGAGAATTTTGGAGTTGTTGAGAACCGCGGAAGAAGCAGTGGGTTCTTGTGAAGTCCCTGACGACCTGGTCAGGGCGTTTGAGGAACTCGTTATGTTCTAGTCGAGGAAGGCTGTGGTCTGTCGTAGGCGAGCGTCATCTCTTGTCGTGTGCGTCGTCTGTATCGTGTGCCCGAGTTTTTTTGGAATAAACAGAAGGGGACAGAGATCATGGCAGCAGCACCCGAACACGATGGCTCAATGAGCAGCACAGAGGAGCCACCCTGCGAGTGACGAACCATCTCACCTCAGGGACGACGCCTGACGCAGATCCAAGTCTGGTAGAACTTCCCCCCCTCCCGGTTCTTCAAAAATGCACGCTTTGAAGTGTGAGGCTAGTAGCCTGACGGGTAGCGAGTTGTTGTCAGTATTGGTCCGTCCGGATGGCAGCCAGACGAAGTTGGACGATTGTGTGGCACAGGTAGTTACGATACAGGCGGGTGGTGGCGGCGAGGTGACGGCTTTGGCGTTGACGCCCAAGACAGCGTTTAAGGTGGGCTTGGAGACGGTCGGCGAGCGAACGCCGTTGACGATGAAAACGACGATGGTGAAGGGCGAGAACTACGACTGGTTCCAGCAGTGGGACCGGATGATGGTGTGGCGTCCGAAGGAGGGGCTTTTGAGTGACACACGCGCGAAGGCAAAACTGCTAGCCGCCCTGCGGCGTCAGCTGGAGCGCAGGGGACCGCGGAACAAGCCCAGGGCGGGTGGAGGCGTTGTGTCGCGAAGTCTTTGGGGAACACTTGCACGACTTGCACGCTATCCTGAATGGGAGTGGCGAGATGCAGGAGCAGGTGGACGGCGTTACCGTGGCTGTGATGCGCCCTGTGGACCCCTCGGAGTTGGCGGAGCTCATGGCGCGGGTTCCCAAGGAGTGGCAGCCGGTGTTGCAAGAGTCGGCAGGGTGGAAGACTGCGCACTGGAACGACGGCGGGGGCCTGGAGGTCACACAGGCGAAGCCCATACACGAAACGAAGAGCCGCCCGTGCAAGGCCGCGTGCGTTCTGGGGGTAGGGGCGGCCGTCCAGAACCAGCTCCGACAACTCTATGCAGGACGCAGTTTTGATTGCGAAGGCCAGGCCGCCACCGGCTCGAGACATCGGCAC